GAGAAACAATCTGACATTTGCAGAGCTGCAGATTCTCGCTCTGTTCCTGGACTAAACATGATTAAACTCTATTAAAAACAATAACATTTTCATCAGCTTGCGTTGTTTCACAGTTATTCTTACAGTGTTCATGAATATATTGTTGCTCCAAGTTATATATTTACATGCTCGTTTAACAATTTATATAGGAATAAAAGTGCTTGATTTATATGAAATCATTTTATAATTTAGTAGCTGTTGAAATGTCTTCTCAAATGTAACATATGTAACTGTCTAGATGTGCACTAAAAGTGTTGTGGTAAATATAATATGTACAAAACGTATTATAGGTATGTTTCAGCAATACATCTATGTATTGTAGTATGACATATATTAAATAATTTATATAATTATAGTTCTACATGATACTATATTTAAATGTTATGCAATAATTTATACCAGATATTAGATTTCATTTTCATAAAATACTTTATAGCAAACATTTAGCTGCATGTGTGTCTGCTTTAAATTGGACTGAAATCATTAAAACCAAAAATATGGCCATGTCAATTTCATGACACACATGAAAGTCTTCATGTTTGCTGCACAACAATTTAAGTAGATTACACTTCACTTTGACTGATATTGCTACTTGCTGACATGTATTATGGTCCAATTTAAAAATGATTCTGTAATGTTGAAAGGGGGGAAAAGGCGTAGTAATGCAGGAGGATAATGCTATTGAAATATATTCAAGAGGGCTTCTCACTGGGTCTCAAGGTCCATGACACTGTATTGAGATTCCAGATATCCAGACTCTCCATGCATGTCCCTGATGGGGTTTTGACTGACATGATGGGCATAGAGGATTGTTGTTTTGGCGTGGGGGCGGGGTGCGTGTGTGTGTGTGTGTGTGTGTGTGTGGGAGGAGGGGGTTAGGATGGGGGGTTACCTTTGTGCTTCCCCCCTTTAGAGATTCAGAAAGCTGTATGCCTGGCCCTAGGCCTCAGCACAGGGGGTAGATATGATGTGGTGTTGGCCATACCAGGGCAGGAGGGGGGTTACGATGGGGGGTCGGTTTCAGATCTTTGGAACCACACACACTTTTTTTTAACCTTCTCAGATGACCAAACTGGTTGTATCACTTACAGAAATAAAAAAAAAGAACAAAGAAAGAAGAAAAAACTCTCCTCTCATTCCCTCTTCCCTCCTGTTTTTTTTTCATATCCCAGAAAACCTGCAATCCATCAATTTGCTGAAGCCTCTTATTTAGATCAGCATGGTGTCTGCTTGAATATGGTCGCGCTTGACAAGGTGATGGAATGACAAGCACATACCAGCACCATAAGAGTCAGCCCCCATTTGATAAACCCCCACAATGATATTACACAGACGTTTAGATTAGTGATAGCAGCAGTGGGAAAGCCTTTGTCTGTATGTCTGTCTGTCTGGCTGACTTTCTCTCCCCTTTCTCTGTCTTTTTTTCTTTCCCTTTTCTCTGATTTTAGCCCCTGGGCAGTAGTTGTGCAAGTGTGTGTGTATGACTAAGGTTAGGTCTAGCCTGCAGTAGCACAGGTGTGAGGTATTATGGAGGGCGTGGCCGAGCTTGTCATTGGACAGGTGTGTTACTTCCCAGACAGCAGATGGTTTTTGTTTACATGACTGTGTAGGTGTGAGAGAGTGTGTGTGACCTAACAATGCAGATCATAAAGAGCCTATATTCATGTTACACATGTTAAATATGTGCACATCATCTTTTAGGGGGCTGCCTGTTTTCTGCTGTGAAAAAGTTGGAAACCATATCCATACTGTTTTGGTTAGATGAGATAACTTCTCTGCCACTTCTCTCTTTCATTTCTTTTTGGCCTTCTCCCCTGACCTTTTCTCTATCTCCTCCCCATGTTCAGTCTTGTTAGCGAAACATAAGATCCTGCAATGAAATTGTATGTTAATGTGAATGTATGTGTGTTTTGTGCTACTTGCTACCGCCCTGCCCATTCATCATAAGACTGTCAGCAATGTCTCTCCTCTACTGGAAGTGTCTCAGCTTTGGCTTTGATCGCCACAGCAGCACAGCTGAGGCACACCCCTGCACGCTCCTACCTGCACACACCTTCACACACGAGCGACATGATGTGGATAGAGAGGATGATACATGTATGTGCACGAGTTTGTAAGTTTCTGTGGGCTTCTTGTAGAATCAGACAAGGTCTGTAGTCAGTACAAATAAGCATCTGTGTGTGCATGTAATCGGATACTGGTTATGTCAAAGGGCAAGGATAAAGTAAGGCCCTATGTAAGAAAGAAAGAAAGAATTCAAGAGAAAGCCAGAATAAAGGAAAATATGAGTATGTAGATAATATGGGAGGAGGAGAAGGAGGAGTAGAGGGAGTAGAATGTTTCTACCTGGTTGGTAATCCAGTAAGATTACTGGCGCCTGACGGCACCCACTGGCCATCGTGCCTGACTCTTTAGCCTGCCTCTCAAGAGCGTGAGTGAGTGAAAGCAAGAGGGAGAAAAGAGACGCTTGTCTATGTGTGTGTGTGAAATGAGTCAGCAGTGCCTGTGCCTTAGACAGACCTGGCCTCCCTCACCTTACTAACGCTACCCAGGATACAAGGAGCACATCTCTAGTGCAGCGTGCAAGACGACCCCCTGTGTAGAGGAGACAGCTGGTGGAGGCTGCGGTCAGCTGAGCCACGCCTGGGCTCAGTGAGGAAAGGGCAGCGTGTAAACTGTCATTTCAATAAAATAATAAATAAATAGAGACACAGTAAAAATCCAGACTGACTCCGTTTGGATCAGTATAGCACCAATACTACACAGGGCATGAACGACAATATCTTGACCCAGTGTTAGTATTATTCTTTTTATTATTCTATTGAACTTTCAGGTCACAATTTGTTACTGATAATTTACTATTACTGTTAATAATATATGCACATTGTTTTGTACAGCTACCCATAGATTCCTGACAGTTTTAAGGTAAAACCTGATGTTGACACTGGGCCAAAATAACCATGTTTGAGTGTTTGGTTAAATAACACCAAAGAAATATAATGAAATAGCACTGAGTCAAAACAGCCCATTGGTTCTCCGTAACGTTCACCCAGCATTTCATCAACGTACATTGTATTTTGTCAAATTTGAACCAGTGTTTTTTTTTGCGTATGTTAAACACACACACTCAAATTCAAATTCTGTGAAAATCACATTTTACACGAGTTAAATGAGTGGAGTCAAAATTTGTTGGTGCATTAGAGGTATTAAGTCATTAAGTAAAGCTAGTCACTAAAGGCATGTCTGTTTAATTAATTGATTATTAGTTACTGATTAAACTCTCATGAATGCCGTGATATTTTAAGCAAACTATAACACGTCATTTTACATGCACGCCATTCCTGAATGTTTTGGTGCTTGTAATAAGTGTGACCGAGAACTGAACCATCTGAAATGTCACATCAGTGGAAAGATTAAAAAACAAAAACATTACATTCAACATTTCTGCTGTTGGAGTTTTGAGTCATTTGTTGTGGGGCACATTTGCTGCAGTGACAGAAAGACTTTTCTCTCATCCCATCCAACATGTGAACAGCTGCTTATTGTCGGTAGCAGTGATTTGAAGGGAGTGGGGCGCGTTTGGTTGCGACATCTCCGGGGTGTGAACACACACCACCATCTGATGACTTGGCAAGTGG